GCCATCTGTACCTGGAGCCTTTTTTGCCTTGATTTAACAATCACCAAGTGAAGTTCTTCCTTTGTAATTTGCTCCACTAACGATTAATTTTTTTACCCATACTCTGAGTCCTCGGGTACCCCATAAATATGGATGTTGTTCCTCCTGGATCTGCTCTCCAAGTCAATAACCTTTTCTCCAAGCTCATCTTGTCTTTCCAATAAACTGAGTAAGGCCTCATTTGTCACCAAGCCACTCTGCTCCATCTCAGCTATACGTCCCTCTGCCTTGGCAATGGCCTTACCCTGTGACTGCTGTGTAGCCACACATTCGAGTAGCTTTTGGTTTATTTTCTGATTGAACTTTGCCAACTCATCTGTCAGTTTTCTGCCAATGTCTTCTGTGACTTATGAGAGTGATTCTTGAACTTTATCTTTAAAACTGCCAGGCTCCTTGGACACTTCTGCGATCTCACAGAGGATGACGCAGTCTCCTCCAGCCTCAGCTAGCGCTTTCCCATGGCTAGGTAGCCAGCAGCCGCCATCTTCTTTGTTGTGTGGTTCCATTCTTTCTTCTGTCTTTGCCCACTCATTCATCACCTGGTTAATAATTTTCTGTCCTATTCTGGGTTTCCCCTTTTTCATCCCTTTTTAAATACTCTGGTACTTTTACTTTCAAGTCTGGGGGCTGTAATTTAGTTCAACTGGATTGGAGCTCAGTAACTATGCGTCCATTGCACAAGCAATTTATTTTTATGTGACTTTTTTGTAAGCCTTGTGAGTGTAATCCTTTTTCAGGCAATATATTTTGTTTGGAGTTCACAGTAACTGTATATTGTTCTTTGCACATGATATAAAAAATATTTGTGTTTCTGAAACCTAACTCAGCTCTCAGAACAAGATGTGTGTTTCTGGGATTGATGTTATGTCCTCATGTGCCAACTCTCGTTTTTAGCTGTTTGTCTTTACTGATGGAGAGGTGGGAAACACCAAAGAAGTGATTGATCTGGTGAAGAAGAATTCAGATTCTCACAGGTGAAACCACAAAAATACAACTATATCTACACAATTCCCAGAATATCCAACATGTCCTCTGTGTAATCAGCAAAAACTGTTGTATTGCAGGTGTTTCTCTTTTGGGATTGGGGAAGGGGCCAGCTCTGCTCTCATCAATGGGTTGGCCAAGGAAGGAGGAGGTCATGCTCAATTCATCACAGGGACTGACAGGATGCAACCAAAAGTACGACATTAAACACAATTATAAGTCAAGTTAATCATTACAGCAGCAGCAGATACATTTTTGAGATCAGACCTGCAGTGAGTAAAATGTCTGTTCCAGCTGTTTACGTATATTTGGAGAGTTTTTCATTATTTTTCAGGTGATGCAGTCGCTGCGATTTGCTCTGCAGCCAGTTGTGGTCGACATCTCAGTCACATGGGATTTACCAAAGGGTGTTTCTATCACTGTCCTCTCTCCACCAATCATAACACTCTTCCAGGGTCAGAGGTCACTGATTTATGCCCAGCTCACTGGACAGGTAGGAGCAGCAGCCTCTCATGTTGTTGTTTAGGTATTTGATGACAGTAATTAACGTGACTTCTAACCCTGTAATTGTGTGTCAGAGCTCAGAGGCAGCAGAGGGCTGTGTGACGCTGAAGTACAGCCTGGCAGGTCATCGCTCTGAGAAGAAGCTACACTTCAGTCTCAGACCTGCAGAGGACACTGGGTACAACATGTTTTTATATAAACAACACTATTCTGTGGCCCATGACCTTAGACACATGTTTAAAATAGCAAATTATGAGACATATGACACAACCTATTAAAATATGTTGCGGTCATATAAGATGTTAACTGTGCAACACGCATCCACAGATTGCATGCTATAAATCTACAGTTTCTTTATTACAGCATGTTTTAAGTGCATGTTTTAATTTAGATTCTCTCCTGGGTGAATGTGTGTAGCTTACACGTACCTCCCTAAAACCACTGAATGAAGCATTAAATGTGCATCACATTGTCACAGGAATGTCTTGGTATGTTCTTGTATTCAGTTAGTTTAGAAAATGTATAAAATGTTTTAATACATGATTTTTCTTTGCTGCTAAGATAGACAGGTACACATCAATGTTCACTTTTAAGTCAATAAAATTATTTTTTGATTTAATCTGTTGAAAGACTAAAGTAATTTCCATGTCTTCTTTATTACGCACTGTAACTTCAATCCCAAAACTGTGATAATAGAACTAATGGCAGATTTAAAACCTGTAGCAATTGTTCACATGTCATTTGGATTCTCATTCGTTCTATTTATGAGCATTTGTTTCCATTATCAGATATGATTTGTGTGATTCTTACCCAAAGTTGTGGGTTTTGACTTCATCTTTGTACAACCTTAAAAACAATACAATGTTATTGTGGACACAAAAGGAGTATCTCCCCTCTCCGGCCCTGCCCACTGCTGAATAGGGAATGATTAAATTATGCTCGCCGGCTTTGAAGACCGGCCTCCCCTGACACCACACCCTGAACTTTCTGCATCACTCCTCCGCTGCCATCAACTACACCACGCCACACATCCCCACTGCCCAACTGCCCAACTTTTACTGGGGAGCCTTCCGACCATTCCTACTCATGCCCCACCCCCTACGAGCAGGAGAAGAAATCAGCAATGACTATCTGTGCCCCTGGCAATTTCAACTTAATAGGCTGGAGGGCCAGATAGAACCATGTGGTCCCGGCATTGGCATCCTTCATGCGGTGGAGCCATTGCAGCAGGGTGTGACCAAACAGAGGGTGAAAGCGAGGCCAGGATGTAATAACGGAGGGAGTCAACTGCTGACAAGGCACTCTTTCTCCATGGTAGTGTACCTAGCCTCCCACTCCAACAGTTTGCGGCTGAGCTGGGACAAAACGGCCCCCAGCACCAGAACTAGTGAGACGTGAGGGAGACGTTAGGTGGATGGAGCAGAGGTTTCCCATAGAGAGCCCTCTTCACCAGTGCAAACCTACTGGACCAGATCTTGGGTGAGAGTCACGGTGCTTGTCAGGTCCTCAAAGTCGGCCACAAACAGCAATAGTAACCAGCCACCCACAAGAACCACCTAACTTCTTTTTTTGTCTTTGGATTGAGGCAGTTCTTTGGGTTGGCTGTGAGTCCAGCCTGCCTCAGGGACGCCAGAACCGCGGTCACCCACTGCACAAGCGACACCCAGGTGTCTCTATGGATGATAACATTGTCCAGGTGGTCAGCAGCATGTGCAGCTTGTAGATACAGCCCGTGGTCCATGAGGCGCTGGAAAGTGGCTCGGGTTCTGAACAAGCTGAAGTGTGACAAACAAGTACAAACCTTATGTAGTGGGGAAGGCTGTTTTTCCTTAGACTCTACAGACAAGGGAATCTGCAAGTAGGCCTTAGTTAAATCCAGTGTTGTAAAAAAAA